TTTCACACCAAAGAATTAAATTGGAGGCTGTAGTCTGTAGTACATGCAATCTATCTTTCAGTATGAAGGTGTAGCTGAATATTTTGTGCACAACAAATATATATGTAGAGCACTGAAGAGGCTTAAGTAAATCGTAGAGTAAGCAGAGACAGATTCTGTGGTTTGTTTTAAACAACTTCTGAAAACCCGTTTTTGTAGATGAGCTTTTGGTTTGGAATGAATCTCTGATCATATGTTAGATTTTGTGTTTGTTCATGTGTCTGTAAGTTCAAACATGTATTTGTGGCTTTTCTATTGCTTATGCTATTCCCTAAAGCACTTCACATTTGGGGAAGATATTACAAATTTCAATTAAACAAACCATATCAGGGTCGTTCCACCTTCCAGGACCTGCTGCAGGTGTCAGGACGTCCTGATTTTCAGAGAACCAGTCAACAATGTTCAGTACACTGTCCCAAGAGTCCTGGATGTCATCATAGTTACGCCACAGGTTGCAGATCTCACCCAGCTGAGTGTAATTTACCTAAAAACACGCATCAGTTTCATATAGTGAAGAAGCAAATACTAAGATTCCCTTTTTTAAGTATTAGAACAGGATTTGAACAAAACATCAAAAAGTATTTTGGATTTTAATTGTACCTTAGGTGGCAGCCCACCCTGGTAGGCAGGCCAGCTGCAGGAATAGCCAATGGGACGCCCTGTAGCATTTAAAGCCTTTGACATGAGAGGGTAACCTGTTCAAAACAGTGAACAGGAGATCTCAAATGAGGTCCAATCAGCAATATCTTAATATCCACACAGAAAAGGTCCAGTCTTGTGTTTTTACCCAGCTCTTGCTCCGTGGCATTAGAGTAACAGCCGTCATATTTAAACATATCCACCTCCCAGTCTGCAAAAGTTTGAGCGTCTAATTCGATCTTATCCAGCGGGGTACCAGGGTAGCCCCTACATGTGAGTTTGCCCATGTCCCCATAGATGCCCAGCTTTAGGCCTCTGTTATGCAAGTAGTGTGCCAGCTTTTTGATTCCTCCTGGAAACCTGAAAGAGTAATATCAAACACACACATTTTAAAAAGCCTTCAGTTTTCATTTTGTAACCACAGCATGATTTTCTTTTTAATCCTGTAATCCAATTTCCTTTTGCACTTTCCAGGGAAGTGAAAATTCATATTTGTGCTGACACTAAAACATACCTGCTATGAATCTCCTGAGTACTGTGTTTTGCTTTTCACGTGATTGTATGACTGTCACACTACTTCACTGGCTGTAGGCTAATAACAGATATATGTTTACAATGGTCTTTTTGCTCACGCAGCAAATACTGCACCTCTTAGGATCAGGCTGCAGCCGTCCCTGATTGTCTCTTTGTTTGGAAGACCAGCAGTCATCTATGTTCACGTAGACGTAGCCGAGTTCCTTCCAGCCATCCTCTGCAAGTCTGTCTGCCATGTCCGTGAACAGATTCTCACTGGAAGAAGGACAAAGATGTTTCATAATTGTCTCAATCGCATTCCT